AACAATCACAAAAAAAGGGAGGAGAGGAGAATTCCACAGAGCTTGTGCAACTTAAAAGAAGGCAAGGCTACATATCAGAGAAACAAAAATATAATGTTGCAAGCATTAGCATCCGCCAAACCTTCCGGTGTAGCCAGATAATCTGTACATAGGAAAAATCTGTTTGGATCTGATCTGCAGCCAAATCACTTTAGGACTGATCTGTGACCAAATCGGTTTAGGTGTGATCTGTAGCTTCAGCTGCCAGTTTCCATCGAACGGCAGTTACAGTTTAGTTGGGAGGCATTATCCGTAAGGATGGACACCCCTTCATTTTCCTGGGCTGCAGCTCACTGGTTCTCAACTGGTTTAACGTCTGGACCCACATTTTTCCTTAGTCAATAAGTTACAACTTTTTTTTATATTTTGAAAAGGATATTTCACAAAAATAGTGCAGTAATGGTAAACTGAACATTAACAAAGGCACAATACATTAATCGGGCGAGAAAGTGCTTCAGCTAACGCATCCCCTGGCGAAGGCAGGAAAACTGCAAACAAATCACTGAGTTTTGTTACTTCTTACAATGACAGCAAAGGCATTCTATTGTATTCTAAAGAATACACTCATATCGCCTCTCAGTATAAATGCATTTAGTTGCAGCTGAGATGCTGATAGGCAGATGAGCTACGTTTTTTTCCCCAATGATAATGATTAATGATTATTTTTTTTTATTTGTACAGCTGTAAACAGCAGATGGTCCTGTATGGTTCAGTTACAGGATATGCTAGGAACACACACTTCAGGGCTTGTTTAATTGTTGGAATATTTAAAAATAGAAAAAGAATAATTGGCACAGGGAATTAGGAAGTAATTTCCTGCGATTTGTGCAACTGTTTATGACTGTGGGCTTTTATAACCGAAAGAACGTCAAAGGAACGTTTACCTACAAATGCCACTCTGGGCAGGATGGCTCAGCGGGCCTGGGACCCTTTGTGAACTTGTCATTAGCCTCAGACGCCTCAAACGTGACCTTTCACCCCATTGCAGCGCAGTTACCCACCTGGAGAGAGCTGTTTGTAGTTCTGGGGACTTTATTTACCAAACGCTCTTGAATCTGAGCTCTGGAACTGCAAACATTTAATTACCGTCCCTGAATACTCAGCATATATTTTGCAATATATTTTTATCAACCTTTCTCAAAATTTACATTGCATTTATCTGATGCTTTTATCCAAAGCAACTTACAGTATAGAGAAGGGCTACAATTTGTGTTTGCTCCCTGGGATCTGAACCTACGATCTTTACATTAACATTACTAATGCATACTTGTTGAGCTACAAGAGCTATTAGATATATACATGAATATAATAAACACTGATTAGCCATAACCTTAAAACCATCCGTCTAATATTGTGTAGGTCCCCCTCATCACCACAGCATGGACTCCACAAGACCTCTGAAGGTGTTCTGTGGTATCTGGCACCAAGATGTTAGTAGCAGATCCTTTAAGTCCTGTAAGTTGTGAGGTGGGACAGAAGCTTGATCAAATTGAGATCTGAGGAATGAGGAGGCCAAGTGGTTTAAGTTCCTCAAACCACACCTGAACAATTTTTATAGCATGAGGGGACATTATCCTGCTGAAAGAGGCCACTGCCATTGGGGAATACCACTGCCATGAAGGGGTGTACCTGGTCTGCAACAACGTTTAAGTAGGAGGTATGTGCCAAAGTAACATCCACATGAAGGCCAGCATCCAAGGTTTCCCTGGAGAACATCCACAACATCACACTGCTACTGCCAGATTGTCTTCTCCAAGTAGTGCATCCTGGTACCATCCCTTCCCCAGATAAATGAGACACACACACACACACACACACACACACAGACACACAGACACACGGCCACCCAAAACTGAAAACTAGGGGATACGGTACTCATATGCTCATACTCGTAAAAATTGTCCGATAACAAGAACCGATACCACTTAATTGCAACATTACATTAAAACTGAAAGCTGCACCTTTTTTTTTTGCCACCAAATCAGATTTTGGCATCCAGCGAGAGATTTGTTAATTACAAACATTTGGGAAGGATAAATGCAGCTAACACCGGCATAGGCAAATTGGCGAGTAAATGCAGAGGATGTCAGAAGTTTGGACATATTTTATGATAAGGGACAACGACAAAAGGAAAGCAGACTATAAACTCTGTTCTGTTAGAGTGTCAAGAGGAAGAAGGGACAGCATGTCATTTAACACAAGCAATCTGATGAAGTGTCTGAAGGTGCACCATAGTGCAAAGAACACGGAGTTTACCAGTGCTAGTAGAGGTTGACCGCAACAACAAACTTTAGCACAGATTCTGGAGAAGCAAGAGAAAATAAAACTGAAGCATTGAGTTATAAATAAGTTATTTAATGTTAGATACAACTAATGCTTCAGGTTCAATCACCTATATAAGTACCCCGGGTGTTTGCTTTCTTCGCTACTATAAAAAAAATTTATGAAGCGTTGTGGTCTGCGTCACTGCGACTTGTGGTTACTTTTCTGGGGAGTCTAGGTTGTCAATTTGATGCAGAAGTGCAAATCAGCCTTTACAGTTAAGGATTTCTTTGTCTGTAAAGACTTTTCAAGCGGAAAATTGAGAATCCTGATATAAATGATTAAGTTGAAAACTGAGGTTTCAAGTATGGTAAACACATATATATAAATTTACTGAATTGGCATTATATAATATATATATAAACCCCATTAAATATAATATATAATGATAAATTTAACACATGAATATACCATTGCTCTATGATCCAGACACTCACATGCCCATTTGTAGGTGCTTTCGGCAGTGGACAGAGATCAGCACTCAAACTATACGCAGCAATCTGTGATGCACTGTGTTTTCTGACACCTTTCTTTCTTAGCCAGCATTAACTTTTAGCTTAACTTTTTCAGCAATTTCTGCTACAGTAGCTCTCCTGTCTGATTGGACCAAACAGGCTAGCCTTCACTCCCCCAACACATAAATGAGACTTGGGAACCCATGATCCCATCGCCAGTGCACCGGTTGGCCTTCCTTGGACCACTTTTGGTAGGTACTGACAAATGCATACCAGGAACAGCCCAGAAGACCAGCTGTTTCGGAGATTCTCGGACCTAGTTATCTAGCCATCTCAATTTGGTCCTTGTCAAAGTCACACAGATCCTTACACTTGACCATTTTCCCTGCTTGCAACACATCAAAGCCAAGAACTGACTGCTCACTTGCCTAATATATAATGGCACCCTTGACAGGTGCCATTGTAACAACATCAATGGTATTCACATCACCTATCAGTGGTTTTAATGTTACGGCTGATTGGTGTACACATATATAAGAAAGGTGCAATGTTTGTAATAGAGTAGTCCATCATGCTTTAGCAAGACAGAAAGGATACAACTAAAGAAACAGTATTCCATCATTGACTGTCCTACTTAGCCCACCCTGTAGGCTGGTGCCATTAGCATCAGACTGTATTCATCACATTAATCGCCCCACAGACCGTGCCTAGTTTTCCAAACCTGGAGAAAGATCTGGGCTGGAACCGCTCTTTCCTCACATGGTAACACACATCACACACAGAAGCATACTTTACTGTGGAGTACATTACCCTTGAAAGCCAGGAAAGTCACAATTAGTACACTTTAAAAGTAGACCGTCCAGTCCGGTCAGCTTATCAACCCAAACAGCACACTTGACCATAAGAGGATTACCTGTGTCATAAATGAATGGTGTATTGTGTTAGGGGAAACAAAAAAACCTGTTCTGTTTCCAGCCACAGAATGAACCTTGTTTATTTTAAAGCCTTCATCCACATTTTCTAGCCATTTGCTGCACAGAGTGTTTCCTCTTTCAGCTGTTCACTGAGGAGCAGGTGCAGAAGTACCATGTAACTCGGGTTGGGGGCGGTAGTTGGTAAAATAACCTGCTGTGGAGGGCTGTGGGTAAACAGGTTAAAAGGTTATTAACGCAGCCTGTCAGCGAGCTCTTCGTCACTCTCAGCTGGACCTTTCCACACAGCGGCCAGGCACAGATGAAAATAAGGGGCTAATTCTACACACATTTTCTCATTTTGCAGATAAAATGGTACACAGCCACTTCACACGAGTACTCCTCTACAGTTCCGGCCCGAAGTGTAGCAATTGCACACTACATCCATCAAAGATCACTCAAAATGTCTAAAAAAGGCATGGTAATTGACCTGTGACAAAAAAAGAACGATTACATCAAACTCAGCCTTAAAGTAACTCGGCTAAGCACTAAGCACAGATTAATCCAGCAAGCGCACACAGGTCGCTGAAGGTCTGTGCAAATTAAAGCAATTAAAGCAAACACACATTTGGGGGGAAAAAATAGGGAAAAAGGAGAAGATGATCGCAGTCATGTCACACCAGGCTGTGAGGGTCTATCAGCATGTGCTGCCGTGATTGTGGGGTGAGAATACTGTAAGTCTCACAGATAACACACTAGGATTGCTATGATGGAAGCATTTACTGGTTGTCATGACGGCTGTTGTGGCTTAAGTCTGGTTGAGGTGAGACTAACGTTGAGCAAGGGGTAGGTATCCTGATCCTGGAGTGCCAGTATCCTGATCCTGGAGTGCCGGTATCCTGATCCTGGAGTGCCGGTATCCTGATCCTGGAGTGCCGGTATCCAGTAGGTTTTTTTTATCCTACCTGATGAGTTACTATCTGCCTGACATCAGGTGAAGTTCATCAGACAACAAATATGATGGAAAACCTGTTGGATACCGGCATTCCAAGATCAGGGTTGCCTAACCCTGATGTAGAGCCTAATTACTCTTGTGTTCCTAGGTAACCATGCATGGAGAAAGCCAGTCCATTCTAACGGTCACTGTGGCTGGATAAGGAGAAGCTCAGTAAGATAGCACTTCAGTATTTTTGCGTTCCTAGGTAACCCGGTAACCATGTATGGAGGAATCTAGCCCATAATGGCCATTGTGGCTGGTTGAGGGGAGGCTTACCGGTGAGGTTGGTCTTGGCGCTGTAGGAGCCCAGGTACTCGCCATCGGTGTTGGGGGTGTAGCACTCGAACTGGCCCTGATCTCGGGTCTCCAGCTTGGTGATATGCAGCAGGGCGGCATCCTTGCCCAGGCGCTCCACGTAGATCTCCTTGTTGTTGACGCGCTGGGCGTAGACGGCGTAGGCGTAGTTGGACTGGCTGGTGCTGACGATGCGGATCTCCCGTTCAGGGGCCGAGGGCAGGTACATGGACCACTCAAAGTCCTGCTCCACGCCCTCCTTGTGGCCCGTCACATTGCACCAGATGGTGACATGGGAGCCCTCGGTACGCACCAGTGGGCCACTCTGCACGGTCACCACCCGTTTGCCTGAGGCAGAACCTGGAGGGAAGAGATGTTTCTTTAATTCACACCTTGATTAAACAGGTAGAGTACAGTACTCCATAAGCAAAAAGCAAATTAACAGCTAAGAGCTTAAATGTAACACTGACGTCTTGTGGTAGACTGGCTTCCCATCCTGGATATCCCCCTGCCTTTGGCTCAGTACTGCCTGGGATAAGCTCCAGCATTGGTTGAACTACTATTATTAGTACAACAACACTTGCAATATGCTTTTAACAGTTTATACAACTTGAGTGATCCAAGTACCTTTCTCAAGGGTATATAAAAGGAGATCCCTCTCGGAAACTGGACTAGGGACCATTAGACCAATCTGTTTTTCAACCATAATGCAATGCGCAAATCTAATTTCTAATTGCTACTCTCATGACTGCTAGAACAATATCACGATAAGATTTTTAGGATGCATCAGAGCAGAAGGCCCTCCCTTCGAATGGGGATCCTGGCTTCATGTTCCTCAATGCATTATATTGAAGTATAACTAACTCGGTTCCTGGTTCACCACCCAAGGTGAAGTATTGTCTACTGACTGGCGGGAGATGCTCTGCTTTGTCTGCCTTCCAAGGCTCTGACTCTTATTAGTTGCTTCTCTTTTCACGCTGAAGTATCGAGCCAGGCGCGTTGACGACAGCATAGGAACGAAATGAATTCCTGACAAGTCAAGCTGCCTTAAATGCTTTGTTCTGCCTTATGTTTGATCAAATGAAATACAGTGTAATCCACTGTAAACTGTCATTTACGAATCTCTATATATATTTGTATTCCTGTACTATGTCTAAAAAAGAGATTGTTAAAAAAGATATATATGGCTTAATTAAAGGATTAAATGAACTTCAAACAACAAAAAAAAAGCTTTTACGTGTTAATTTTAAATCATGAGAAGTATTGAGATTTCACACTCAACTTCCATTCACTCACTGCGTTTACATGCTTAGTCGAGCTACAGTTATAACTCGACTACACTATATAAATGGACTACTGTCCTAGTCCCATTATTCATGCACGGGAGGGGAATCCGCTACAATAGATGTATTATTTCAGCTTGTTAGTACTGGACTTTTCCTGGTTGACCTATTATGTCACATGGATGTAGACAAATGAAGTGACACAAACTTTAATTACGATCTGGTCAGAAGAAAGCAAACAAGAAATAGTTTGTAAAATATACTATGACAGCACAGTATTGGAATTTTTTAAATACTGCAATGTGATTTGTTGTAATAAATATTGGGGTATTTATGAAACAAAAAAGGAGTTCAAGAAATTTATCACGAACCCATCTAGGAGAGGAGAAACTTTAATCTGATATTTAAACATATACTACATATAGATCTTGAAAATGAATAATCATTAAAACTGCTAAACTTGCTAGGTTTTTTTCCCAATGACATTAAAAATGTTTTAGTGAGATTTAAACTCCCTGCCCTTTAATAACCATACCAAACTGAAGGAAAGAAAAAACCTGATTTTAATCTAGCTGACTATGTTTAGCAATGTAAGAATTAGATGTTGGTATTAATATTGCACGTCATCCAATCGTACTACAGCCATTTTTCAAATTCAGTACAAAGTATGCAGCCTTGCGTTGTGATGTCATTTGGTGCTAGTACCAGTTTTTACACCAGTGGAAAACCAACACCTTGCAGTTCCATAGTTTTAGTACCTTCTTGAAGTATCAAAAGTACGGTATCTGGTTCGGTGGAAACACACCATTTAGTTGAGTTGTGAATTGGACAGATTTACAGGATTTACATCTTGTACATGCTGTATGTCCTCTGCTATACTCCAGGCTTCTTCTGTTACTTCACGGTTCACGGTCAAAGCCGGGGGGGGGAGCATGTGCAGAGCACCGAGGCCTGTTTTGAGTCTGACTGAATGTTTACATCGACTCCCAGTCGCATTATCTGGGTGTCTTAGTCCGACTGAGAAATTCAATTTCATACGATCTCAGTCGAACTAACATACTTACATATACTTTAAAAGTCCGGTTTTAGCCGGACTAACAGAATAATTTGATTTCCTTAGTGTGCATGTATACGTACTGACTTTTTTTTAATTTTTTAGATACTTCTGGAACTATCCTTCCATACATCCTAAAGAATTTATTTGTAAATTATTTATTTGAAAGTCATTTCATAAGACTGAATTCTTCAAATACATGAAAACTTTGAAATCTGGTCATTTTGAGATATTTCAGGTTAAATTATTTTAAAATTACCTACAGCTCTCTCAGTTTAACACTATTTATATATTGCCACAGGTTAAACAGAGATGTACTTAATTTATTAATGTTTTTAATGACAATTCAAATGTTTTTATGAGGTGGATATAATGAATACAATAAGAACATTTTTTTTAATTTTTTGTCTACTTAGTGGAATTAGACGGATTTGGTTTAAAATATTTAGTAAATTTAACTTTAGCTGCTTAAATCTTCCAAATTTTTAATTACATGTGGCTGCTCTTTATTCACATGCTTTGTTTAATGCAGACTCGCTGAAATAATAATTCACTGCATCAGAGAAAGAATTTTTGGCATCTCAGTATGGGGGTCCTTCACACACAGGAAATCACCTCACATCACCGTATCTTACTGCAACATTTCCATGGTGATATTCAGGGTTTTTTTTTTAAGGTTTATAGTCTGGTGGGTCGTGACAGGCAAGACATTTATAAAAAATAAAAATAAAAAAAGACTTAAGATTTATGGACAGGTGTGTGTAAAGGCACCCTCCCTCAGCGGCCAGTCAAAGAGCCTCGTTACTTTAGCTGCCCTACCAAAGCCATATGGGATGGCGTGTTTCAGCACACAGCTAGGGAGGACCATCACAGACCGGCCGCTCGCATCGTGTCTTTCGGCTGGTGGCCAGATGAGCGGCGTTTGTTTTGAATCCCTCCCGAAGTGACGAAGTGTGAACGCTCTCACCATCAAAGCGCACTTCCGCAAAACACACAGTGAAACTCCTTGTCCAGACAACACAAAACCAATGCAGTATTAATAAGGTCACATTACATAATTGTAGCATTTGGAAGGGAAAAAAAACTGCAAAACCTGTATAAATGTCAGATATAGGAACCTACATAAATAGATATGGTAGTTCCTGTACCATGAAAAGGAATTTATTACCATATGTAACAAGTTAGCCCATTAACCCTGGTAGAATCGCTCTTAGGCGTCTAGTTAGCTGCCTGTTTTCTGTGTTCTCCAAAGTAAACGGATCCACTTCATTAACTTGGGATCAAGTGTTTATGCAGTCTTTGGTACAGTGTGGCATACATCCAGCAGCATTTACATTTTATTTATTTAACAGATACTCTTATCCAAAGCGACATACAAATGAGAAAGCAGGGTCAGTCAGTCCCTGGAGCATTGGGGGGGGGGGGGTCCCAAAATTGAAACTACTGCAACCTTCTGATCACAGGCACAGCACTCTAACCTGCTGAGCCACACACCAGTATAGCACCTGTCTCTCGGACATAGCAGCTTCCTGTCCCCATCGAGGCAGCATGAAGGCCCCTAACACCCTGCTTCAGAGGTCTCCACACATCCATATCAAGTATTGATGCCCGTTTCCCTGACAGCAACATCTTCCCCAAAGAAATTCAAAAACAATCTGAAAATATATAAATACACATGGTTAATATGCATTTTTAGATGGTCACCCTGCTTTTCTTAAACTCTGTGATTACAAACCACACTGTCTGGCATTGGTTAGGTTCATACAGTGAGTCAGTGGGTGGCCCACTGATCTCCAGGACCTGTTTTGTTTCTTAGATAACCATACTATTTATTCAAAACTAAACAGAACCCAGAAGGTTCATCAGGTTATACAGGAAATGGGTCTACTGACCCAATATGGAATTAAAAATTGCCTCACAGTTATTTAGTTTTACCAAAATGTCTGGGAAACATCCCACTGAAGCACCAGTTTGACCCACATTCATTTATTCAACTCTGCACATACTGCACATACTTTAAAGCACCTGAGTAGGAGCAAGGAATTCTGGTATTGAAACGTGGATCTGTATATCAGACCAAAGTCATATGCCTCATTTCCACCAATCCTGAACTGGTTCTGCCAGTTTCTACCACAAAAAAACTTCCCTGGGTCAGGAAAAATGGCTCCAGCATGGCACCACAGAAAACCTGGTCTCTGAATTTGGTAACGTTGCATCAGGGAACGTGAGATGGGCTATCACGTCCAAACCTTCAGCATACCGAGAAAACAGTCCGTGACCAAAATAGTTTTGAATAACGTTACATCTCTTTTTTTATTCTGTAGAAAACAAAAGATTGATCTGCTAACCAGGTTTAATAATGAATTATAAACATGTTGCAGGTCAATTATTAAAATATTGTGGCGCTTGAGTGGCAAAGAGGTGGACAGCAAAGTTCAAATATTAGCAGACTCTTTCCTTAAAAGGACGGTGGTAAAACAGCGAATAAGAATAAAGTAACACACAGAGGTGGAGGAGCCTTTATGAAGACACCGACAACAGAGTCAGGGCGCAACAAGTCATACTCTGAAACTCTTTTTTCGGTCCAGCAGCTTAGAAGAACTTAAAATCCAAAATAGATCAAAATAAATCCAAAAAATGGAATGTGTACCAACTATTACTTTACTCTCACTTCCGCCTACATAACATTTCCGTTCCATTCTTTTTTGAAACTGGTGGAAACACGGGCAGGTTCTCAAAAGAACTGAGAACCAGCCTAGCACTGGCACCAGCACCGGCTCCATGCTGGTGGAAATAAGGCACAAGTTTTCATAGGGAGCGTTTTCATAACGTGGGCCTCGATGATGACGGCCAGAAATAGCCCCAGAAACCGTGTCACTTGAACGACAGGAGGCGCTACAAAAGATTACCAGTACGCCTCTGGTGGCAGAAGGAAAATGAAGAGAGTAACATTAAGTATGGATGAGTTACAGCATCTGCACGTGTGAATCTCTATTCAGCCAGATCCTCCGGGTGCCGGGGGC